ATAGATAGATAGAGAGATGGGAAAATCTGATAGTGTTGATTATTGAGAGTAATATGATTGGTGAGGTGGAGAGTGGGACAGATATTATTTTGTCAGTGACTCCTCGGCTGACTTACTGACTGACTGTGTGAGTGTGAATGGCGCTGAGTAAGTGAGAGATTGAGGTTGGGTGTTGGTTTGTTGTTTGTGTGTTGGTGGGTGATAATGGTGTTGGAGTTGTGGATGTCTCTGAGGGTAGTGATTGATGGTGAAGAGTGAGTGAGTTTTTACATCTGCCGGGCGTAGCGTATCATAGTTTCTTTATCTGACTCGGGGTTTGAATGCATTTTTTGAAAACGTTGGGTGCGCTTCCTTTGTGACGAAGTGGTTCCGAATGCATACTTCGAGTTGATGAGAAATAACGCACAACGTCAAAGCAACACTTAGGTCTAGTCCTAACGGAAAAATGGACACAAGCGTTAAGGACACTGGTGGTGTAGCGAGGGAATATGCGGTCATACACTTTACACATAGACAATTAGGTGCACTCACTCCTGAGCTCCTTCTAAGGTTCTACAAACAATACATCAAACTACACTTTGAAGTGCATAAAATCACTGCACCCCCATTGCTTAGAAGAGACGTCAACCTCTTGGAAAGAGTCCAAAGAAGGGCAACAGAAGGAGTGGTTGGTCTCCGAAACAAACCATATGATGAGAGGCTAAATAAATTAGGCCTATTCACACTTAGGTACCGTCGTCTTAGGGGGGATTCGATTACTGCCTACAAAATAACAAATGATCAGAATCACCCGAACAAAGGTGTTCTGCTATTGAGTAGGTATAGGCTCCCTCGTGGAAATCCTAAAAGGATAGCTCACCAGAGGACAAGGACCCGGGTGTGCTCCCACTTCTTTTCTCTGCGGGTGTGCCGTCCCTGGAATTCCTTACCGGCAGATGTAGCTATGGCATCGTCTGTGGACGCCTTTAAGTGAAGGCTGGACAACCATGCAGCGACACAAGGACTGCATCCAAATGGCCTATCCCCTTAATATCCCATACACCATTCACGGGTAGACAATCAAACTGGTCGCTTTACTTCTTTACATTCTCTTCCGTCTTACTCTCCTGACAGCTTTAACTACACCTATTATTATTATCATTATTACCGGTATATATACATATACCGGTTGACTGACTGTTGTTACGTTTTCTTATTCTTTTTCTGTCTGTTAGTCTGAATAACTTCATTAATTATACTATAATTATTATGATCTCCTTTATTTTGACGACGATACAGAAGGACCAGCTGTTGAAAGGATCAACTCCATTCACAGCAGTAAAAGTCTTAACACACCTCATACTACAAACCACATACAATTAATCCCTGCACTACTCCTTTTGGAGTCAACCAAAGCTACGACAGTCGAGTGGGGCGGGACGAGCTACTCAGAGGTTTAGCGAAGATAAGAAACCTATACCTCACAATCAAGAGGCGAGCAAAAAGAAATCTAATTAGTTTATACTAGCTCGTAAAAACGATATTCGATATTGCTTATCGGAGTGAGTGACAGAGTGAGGTGGGGTGTTGGTTTGTTGTTTGGGTGAGAGTGGTGTTGGAGGTGGGGATGTCTCTGAGGGTAGCGATTGATGGTGAAGAGTGAGTGAGGTGGACTTCTGTGTGGACTGTAGGTTGTCGTGAATAGTGTGCATGTGTGTTAGTGTTGATGTTGGGAGGCGAAAGTAGTGGATGGCTGCGCATATGGATTGGCGTGATGAGTGAGTAGCAGTCCAGTGGAGGCCGGAATAGCTCAGCAGGGAGAGCGTTACACCGAAGACCTCAGTATCCCCGCTTTTACCATCACGAGGACCCCAACCATGACGTCCACACTTCCCTACGTGACCGGCTTAAACTAACTGTTGTGGATTTCATGTATTGATGAAGACATGTTTTGTTTTCACCACCACTAACTTTTAGCCAACGTGATCCAACATCAGCTAACATTGCCTCGCGGGCAAGGTGATGGCTAGGCATGAGTAACATGTGTCCTAACCATCTCAGTCGATGTAATTTCACAGCCTCGTCGATTCATTTCCCCTTCCTTATTACGTAGCACTCAACCGATGCCTTACCTCAATATTACTCACCTTATTATACCACTTCACATGGGAGATTGAACGTAAGCACCTATGATCAAAGACAGCTAATCTTTTCATGTCTTCCCTTCTCAATGGCCATATCTCACTCACGGCCATAAAGGAGGACGGAGCCGACTGATGAGCAGTACACACGCCCTCTAGCCGATTGCCAGCCAGATATCATGTCTACGCCAGAGACGGCGTAAACTAGCATATGCGAAACTAGCCCTCTATATCCGTGCTGAGATTTCGTTGGAGATCAACACGTTTGGGCTGATGGTACTTCCCAAGTAAGTGAAGCGGTCAACGTGCTCTACCACTTCACTTTCTATTTCTAATCAAGGAGTCGGTGTAGTCCAATCCTGTAACATCATCTTGCATTTGGCGGGAGCGAATCGCATGCCAAACATTCGCGGATTGCAGCTCAAGGTGTTCAGAAGACTCTGCATTTTGTCAGCGTCCTCGGCTAGAAGGACTATATCGTCTGCATATTCTAAGTCAACGAGATTATTCCCTGGTAGCAAGTCAATCCCTGAGACTCTGAAGTGAGTTAGGGTTAAGCCCATTAGTACATCTATGATGAAGTTGAATAGAAATGTGGATAATGAGCATTCTTGATGGACGCCACTCGTCGTCACCACTTCAGATGACAACTTGCCGTAAGCCCTCACCTGGCTGGCTGCATGAGTACGAGTAGATTGCCTTAATCAGTGCAATGTATTTTATCGTAATTCCTTTCACAACCAAGCATCGCCAGAGAACCCCTCGGTCGACAGAATCGAATACCTCCTTTAGGTCAAGAAATATGACAATTGATGGACGCCGATAAGAATGCCCACGTCCCAGAATCGGTTAAAGAGTGAATATATGGTCAATACACTCTCTTCATGGTCTAAAGCTTGCCTGGTTTTCTCGTGTTTTTGCCTCCCGAGCACTACTTAGTCTACGCATGATTATGGAGCCTAGGACTTTAGATACCATATTAGTCAAGCTAATCCCCTGTGATTATCAGAGGAAGACTCGTCTCCCTTCTTGTATATCGGGACAATCAATGACTTACACCAACTCGACGGGATTTCCTCTGATTCCCAGACGTTGCCTAATCTCCTAGTTAACCCAGACAGTAAACTGTCTCCACCGTATTTAAATACCTCTGGAGTCATTCCATCAGGTCCTGCTGCTTTGCCTTCTTTCAGAGTAGTGACAGCTTTAGTAACCTCAGTTAGGGACGGACGACCTGTCTATATTCCATTCAGCGAGGTGTTGGATGTTCGCCAGGTTGAGGGCAGCTGTAGACCAACTGAATTGCTCCTCAAAGTTTTCTTTCCAGCGTTCCATTCGTCTATCCTGAGAGCTAATAAAGGTGCCATTTTTCTCAGAGATTGCTTCACTTATCATTTGCCACCTGTTTCCCGGATAAGTCTAAATAGTTGTTTGGTTTTACCAATCGCCGATGCCTTTTCCATCTCCTTCGTTTTTTTCGCCCACCACTGTTCACGGTCGTTAAGGAGACTTCTTGTCAGTTTGCGTTTGAGCAGCTTTCACTCCTCATCATAATCGAAGCTCGACGGAATCAGTCTTCTTGCGTCAGTCAGTCCGGATGAGTTGGTAGAAATCCACTGGCTCTTACTAACTTTAGGTTTCAGGTTATTAACAGCTTTTACAGCTAACCGCATGTTGTGCCAGACTTTGTCAGGAGGAGTCCTGCTGTCGACCTCAGATACTCGTTTCACCATTTCTTCCTTAAATAGGGACTCAATGTCTCGATCTAGTTGGGGAAGTAACTGCTTCGCTGCCAACAAATTATGTGCGTTCAGACGTAAGCATAAGCTTGCGCGGACCACAGCGCGATCGGAGTCTACGCACCTGTGCCAAAAGGAGTGGTGGGTCAGTCTTCTACTGACCCTCGACAACGATACCCTATCGCTTTGTAGTCGATCTGAGTCCAACGTTGATTTGGTGATGGAGGTTGCTAGATTACGCAATGTCTCTCTTTGTGCCTAAATTTAGTGCTGACTAGAAACAGATGATTACCTGAACAGAACTGTAGAAGAAGACAATCACCGTTGTCAGTTCGTCGGCGTGGAATTCCACACGTACCACCTATATACTTCTCAGTCTGGCACAACGTCCCTACTTCGATAGTGAAGTCTTTAAAACACCTATATCTGAACGTACAATTTGATGTACAATTTTTGGGGTCGACCTTTTCTAACTCCTTCTCTCCAGAGTGGAGAGACAGCATAGCTAGCTGGCGTGCTGGTCATCTGAGGTGAACACCTCACTGCTGTTACATCCTGTTTGCCCACAGACCCCACCCCAGCAGAGTGTATGCTGGTAACTGCTTTCAGTCTAATCACCATCCAAAAAAACCTTCCTGGCATGGTAGGACTTGCAGGAACAATAGTTCCAGCCAGTGTAGCTTGTTGGGTCATTGCAGTGTGCAAGCCCGACCACCACCACCACAACGTGTCAAGGTGGCAGCTATTGGTCGGGTTCATAATCATCAACAAAACCTGAAAGTTAGTATACTGCTAATGGAAAAATACTGAGAGGCATTAGAAAAAAATATATATATAACTCAAATTATTGATACAAGTATAAAACTTCGGCACTGTCACTGTGGTGGTAGAGTATAACTCCATTATGGATAAGGTTTTATTTTGATAAACTGTCACACAGTGGAGTGTTATAATACAGTAATATTAACTGATGACCACACGCTTCGAGCACAAATTAATACTGCTCATAATCATATCAAGGCACTACTTACACACACGACTTTTTCCCTTCATTTATATACATAAGTGAAATCTTATCCATAATGGAGATATAATATATACAAAAGTTACAATGTAATATAATATACGCATATATACATATGTACAGAAATGCTTAAACGTAGTAAACAAAAAAGTTAGGAAAAAATATTATCATAGAGAAAATAAGGAGAGAGAATCAATGCAGCCTGTGCAAGTAAATCTTTTAAATGCTTTTCAGCATCTTTCAACAAATAGAATGAACCTCCATAATACTTTTTAAGATATGAAACAAGACGTTTACATTCGTATAGAGAAAAAAGTAATACAGTCGTCGTTGAATGACTTATTCCATGAATAGGCGGTAGACGACATTCAACAGACTTTGAAATATCGATAACACGTAGACTTAGATGACAAGATTGAAGATTTTCTCGATCAATATGCTGAAAAGCATGACTTAGACAGAAACGAGAAAAGTCTTTGGCACAAGAAACTGATGATGATGATTGATAATCCGTTTTAGAGTAATTCTCAGTGTCCCAGTCTTCTTCTTCTTGTTGTTGTTCTGGTGGTGGATGTTTACGCTTTCTGCTACTACTACTAGTGGTCGATTGAGCAGTGAACCAAGCCCCAGGTGTTAAGACTGTAGAAAAACTACGCTCACAAAATTTGCACAATACAGATAAAATGATGACAGAATGTGAACTCGGTAACGACGACGTTTGACAGTGGAATAAAGAGGAAAAAAAGGATGAATCACATCGTGTGGAGTCTATACAATGTTGTGTAAAGCCTTCGATTGTAGAAAATCCAATTTGACAATTTGAGCATATTAGTGAGCGATGAATTTTTAGGTCTTTTACAATCAAAACCTTTCCATAGGTGTAAAGCGGTTCACCTTGAGGATGTTGCAATTCATGGTGATAGGCACACATTAACTAAAAAACCAATTTAAAAACAGAATGAAATTATTCAAAATATATATGTATGTATTTTTTTTTTGAATTACGCATTCAATGATACTTTATGCATAAAAATCAAACAAAATTACACGATGAATAATATGATGAAGTGTGGAAACGCGAAGTTCAAGGCAGACAGTACAGTTGTGACAGCAATCGTTTCATCGGCAATCAAAAAACACTTGTACATTTTTAAATTTCTTATTCCACACCTTTATTATACCATGATTAACTGTTTATCCTTCGTAAGGTGGTATTAAGAATGATGGGTTGTGGATTCGCTGACATCCTCCTTCTAAATAATTCACAATGATGAAAAAATGTATATATATATATATAGCGAACCTTGAATGTTTTGGAAAGGCAAATCATGTTCTGACCAAATTGCAACTCTACGCATCATCATCACAGAACAAAGCATGGAATGGCAATCAAACCTCTACCTCAACTTTATAGACTTTGAGAAGGCCTTCGACAGCGTTGACCGCGAAGTAATTTGGAAACTACTCGAGTACTACGGCGTACCCCAAATATTCATCAACCTTATTCAACAGCTGTACGACAACGGCACATGTCAAGTGATCCACAACGGAAAACTCAGCAAGGCGTTTCGAGTAAACACAGGAGTCAAACAAGGGTGCTTATTATCACCAATGATATTCCTAATTGTGGTGAACTGGATTATGCGTCAGACAGTGGGATACGAGAAGACAGGGATATCCTGGACCACCGACGTGAAGAACCTAGAAGACCTAGACTTCGCGTGTGGATGATTTATGTTTGATGTCACACAAAATCGAGGACTTACAGGCGAAAACCGACAAACTGGTCGAAGAAGCAGGCAGTGAAGACAGGAATCCAGGTGAACATAGACAAGACATAGGTTATGAAAATAACCAACAACAACAGCAACATCCACCGCCAATCACCATCGACGGGAGGAATTTGAAAGAGGTTACTTCATTTACTTACTTATCTAGGGAGCATTGTCTCAACTACTACAGAAGGAACGGACGAGGATGTCAAATCGAGAATCGGGAAGGCGAGAAACACATTCATCCACACGAAACCAATCTGAAAATCTTACGCTCTTACTCAGCATCAACAAATTCGGATTTGCAGTACAAACGTCAAGTCAGTCAGTTCTTCTATACGGATGGATCAGAAACTTGACGGCGGGTCACAAAGAATATTCTCAGCAGCCTGTTGCAGACCTTTACCAACAGCTGTCTTCGTTCTATACTCAAGATCAGATGGCCAGAAAGAATCAACAACAAGAGAATGTGGGAACAAACAAAACAAGAACCAATCGCTCAACAAATATGCATGAGAAAGTGGAGATGGATTGGACACTCACTTAGGAGGCCGCTGGGTGACATCACGTGTCAGGCCATAGCTCGAGTGGAACCCGAAAGGGAAGCGGCGAGTACGACGTCCAAGGGTGACATGGAGGAGATCGTGTGAAGAAGAGTTGACACAGTATGGACTAACATGGATGCAAGTGAAAAGTACAGCTGAAGGCAGAAGCCAGTGCAGGAATCCAAGGGAACAATGAAATTAATATCTTGAATGTTTTGAGTTTTTGTTTTAACTCATACATGTACGATGACGCTACGCCATAATTTTTCTCGTTTGGGTGCGCTTCCACTCTGTGCTGGTAACTCGTGCATTTCTTGGAGTCCTTAGCTTACTTAGCCATATTAGCCAGATAAGTCCTTAAATCTTCCGCCACGCCCCCCCCTTCGCCTTAATAATCTTAACATATATATTCCGCTTAAGTATATTGTTCAGTAGAGCATCCCGCTAAATAACTGTGTCTTTTGATTTTCACCTAGTTGTCAGTGCGTATGAGACAGGTAGCAGCATTGCCGATTAAGTAATAGTTGGGCTCATTAAGTTCAGTAAGCCTGGTATATTGTGATATGGTAATCGCTACAGCGACCTCCCTTACTCATATATAAATAGTCCTTATTAACAATCAGATGTCAACCTCAAGTTAACTCAAATCAGAAGATTATGTTGCGTCTCACTACTACTCAGTCACCTTAAAATGGTACACTTTGAATAAATCTATAATCGGTCGGAAAACTCGTGCATAACTGTGCATCGACTGAAGATATTACAGCCGGGGGCGAGAGAGCATATAAAGAACAGAACACACACACACACATACACTTAATGACACTAATAAACAAACGTGTGGAAGGTAAAATAACTTACTGAATATATTCAGGGTCTGTCTCCATGATGAATAGCGGATATGTATGCATCACTGTAAATTAAAGCCATTTCATCGAGTATATGCAAACCCGTAATTTCCAATACCACCTAAAGCACCCCATTTTGATAACCTATACCTGCCTCTACATCAATCTGATTATCATGAATATCTGCTATTTTGTAGTCTGATTACCCTCAAATTTACCCTCCAACCCGATCACCAACCGGATAACTTAATTTTACCAGGAGAGTAGCACTTCTGTATGCACAAAACAGGTCTCGACAATCCTAGTTGGCAAAAACTCACAACGTCATTCCTAACCCAACCACCTACATATAATCGAAAAATTACTGGGCCTTGTTGTTGTTCCAGACAATATAAGCAATATCAGAACGACAAGAAGACATTGAAGTAAGCTCCTTCATAGGACTTGGCATTTAAGAATTCTATTTTCTAGTGCTATCTTGAAATAACCCCAGTTATTAACCAGATTCTTGTTCTTCCTTTACTATCCTCTACAACTCATCGTCCGGACATTAATCAAAGTGCATCAATACATTTCCTGTGGTTCAAAACTAATCTCATTTCATTTTTCGTGTATTATTACTTGATATAAACGGTAAGTTAATCAAAATATGTACACACAAATCAATTCTTCATTGTTCCTTTGTATTGTATATCCCGTGTCAAGGAGTTATGACTTCTGTCTGTCTGTCTATTTTCGACGTAGAACTTTGCACATTTAGGCGGCACTTCAGGTCGCCACACTCCCTCCATGTAGCACACAGAGCAAGAGAAGAAATGCATATAAGAGACAGTAAACAGAGGTGTGAGCCAAAGAAATAGTAATAAAGAAGAACAAAACAGTTTCATTGGAAATTATAAGTCACAAGGAGTGGATGCACCTGCGATACTGAGAACGATTTTGAGCCATGTCAACAATTGTTTCCAGCCGTCACTGGTTTTCAAAGTCCCGAAGATGTAGCTACGGCACTGTCTGTGGACGCCTTTAGGTGAAGGCTGGACGATAATGCAGCGACACAAGGAGTACGTCCACATTGCCTAGTCCCGTTAAAATCCCATACACCATTCAGAGGTAGACAAATAAGTTCGCCATTTCGCTCCTTTACATTCTCTCATGTCTCACTTTCCTGACAACTTTAACTACATTTATCAATATTACAGTTATTATTACCTATAGGTATACATATATATATATATATATAAATATATACATATGCAAATATACATATATATACATATATATATATATATATATATATATATCAACTTCAAATTTAATCAGCTGTCTGCACTTGCGGGAGCAAGTACATTGGAAGGACAGAAAGAAGGGCTTCTATCCGCTTTTCTGAATAACATATTCCAAGAAACCTGTGCCTGGCTGAAAGGAAGCAAATATTCTCAGAGTGCAATTAACAGACATATTGTTTGTTGATGCCGGACATCTCGTAGAGATTTCTAAGTCCTTCAAAATATTAAACAGACAAAGGACAGCAAATTTACTACGACGATTTGCCGAAGCGATCGCAATCAAACGGTTTAAACCAGACTTATGCATGCATACAGAAAGAGAGTGTGATTAACCTCTCAATATCATGGTAACTGAATTTTCATTACAATAAACAAATCTCACCTTATCTGGGAATGTCAATTTGCACGTAGGACAACATATCACTGAATCACCAATACTCCAACCATAAATCCTATCAGGTTGATAAGTGATGACCCGTGGTTCTTTTAGTTCACAAGGTTTTGCAGTATCAGAGTTATCGACATAATAAATTGGTGTGTATTTACTACAGGTTGAATGACTTGTTTGTTTCAAGTGTTCCACTGCGTCTTCATTGGTCCCAAGAAAATCACAATTATCACATATAAAATAACATGCTGAAATGCATTGATTTTGACTTATCGATTGAAAATAGTTCTCTGTGATGCACACCTCATTTGATAGTAGTGAACAAACATGCTGAAAATCTTCCTCAGATATCATATTATCATAAATTTCAGAAGGTATATAAGGTTGCGTCTTCAACATTATTATTCTATTTCTCATTTTATCACTCATAGTTGAAAGGAACTGACGCTTGTCTGACTCATCACCAGTCTCATCAAACGGATATTTCTCCCAGTTTTTCAAGATTATATTAGGCGGGTATCTGTAATGATCAGTAATGATTAATCTGGCCAAGGGATTTTCGGTCATTCGTCTTCTCCACCGATATCTAAACTCACTACGTGCTTTTAACAACTCATCCATAGGATAAACAGGTAAACTTTGATTGTGAGAGGCTTTGGTAACTGGAGACATTTTGGGGGATGTCTGAATTTCTAGATTAAAAAACCGAAAATAAACAGTAGGATGTCTAAAAACGAAAACTGAAGTAATGACTAAACCAAGAATTAATATCGTAAAAGATAATTAAAATACAAATCCAGCATACAATAATTGTCTGATTTATGTAATTCGAATCCAATATATCCAATATCGTTTTTACGAGCTAGTATAAACCAATTTGATTTCCTTGTGATCGCCTCTTGATTGTGAGGTATAGGTTCGTGATCTTCAGTAAACCTCTGAGTAGCTCGTCCCGCCCCACTCGACTGTCGTAGCTTTGTTTGACTCCAAAATGAGTAGTGCTGGGATTAATTATATGTGGTGTGTTAGGACTGTTACTACTGTGAATGGAATTGATCCTTTCATCAGTTAGTCCTCCGGTATCATCGTCAAAAGAATGGAGATCATAATAGTGATAATAGATATAATTAGTGAAGTTATTCAGACTATCATACAGATAAAGAAATAAAGGACACGTAACAACAGTCAGCTGATTAAGTTTGAAGTTGATATATATATATATATATATATAAATGTATATCAATACGACTGGGAGTAGAGCTACTGGTCAATAACTAGTGGCAGTTTGACCATCTTCACGCTTGAAGATCGGAGAAAGGATGGCTCTTTTCCACTCCCTTGACAGTTTCCCCGACTCCATTAGGTGTTGGTACAAGTCGCATAAGGGCCTCTAGGATTAGTTTTGCCTACACATCAGTACTCCCGCTCAGTACTGACAATACAGAGTTCTGGCTTAACTCTATTTAAAAACAGAGTGACTTGACATTAACTTTATCTGTTTCTAAAACACAAAATAAATCATACAATTACACCAGGAAAAATAAATAAACCCATTGTCAATCAAGAAAAGAGAAAAACGTACCGAGCAGTATTGAGGGAACGGACAAAATGAACGGTTAATTAATTACATGTACACACAAATAAAGTGACAGAAAACAAAGGACACTCAAGGTCACATCATATTGATTGGCTTTCTATCATACAGTATATCTACCTGTCACGATTAACACTCCCCGCGAACGATCATCACGTTGACTTCTTGTACCAGGAACCTTCAAGTTGTCTGCTTCTTCCAACAAACATACGCTTCTTATACCTCGTTCGACTTCTTGAGTTGCAGTTTTCAAACGCACCGTCCTGACGCGGCCATCTTGGTCATAGTACACCTGCTTAACTATAGCCTTTCGCCAGAGACCTCTCGGTGTGTCAGGATTGTTAACTACGACGAGATCACCAGGTTGTAGGTTACACTTTATATCCAACCATTTAGATCTTGTTTGCAGCATCGGATGATATTCACGTAGCCATCTATGCCAGAACAAATCAATCAAATGTTGTGCTTCCTTCCATCTTTGTCGTTGGCCAGTGGGTATATGTGCTCCACGGGGACCAGCTAGCCTATTGTAACCCTCTGGAAGACTCGTGATGAATTCATGAATATTTGCACGACGTGCTGCATTGGTTATTATTTCATCCATTGTTATAGCATTATTCGCCTTATTCCCATAATAGAAATATTAAATAATTGTGGTTCTTGACTGACAACACCAACTTGTTGACGAATCCATTTCCGTAAAATTACTCGACGATTAATACCATTGAAAAATATACTACATTTCCATTGTCATAAAGCCATTGAATTAAACTTAGTATACTGGTCTTACCAGATCCTGAAAGTCCTACCATAGCTGTCTTTCGACCAGGTTCAAATGTATGTGAGAAGTTCTTTAAAATCCAAGTTTCTGGCCGAGATGGATAACGGAATGAGGCTTGTCTAAATTCTATAGGTAAACTATTTAAAAGTTGATCAAGGTATAAACAAACCACCTTCACTGACAGGTATTTTGGACTTTCAATCTAAAAGTTTAAGAATTCGATCAGCTGCCGCCAATGAGGCATGTTTCATTTCTGGGCCAATATGTGATGTTCTTTCTACCAAGTGCTTGAGCTGCGAAACTGATAGCAGCGGAGACCATGAATATTGCCATCACAGTGATCTCTTCAATACTCATTAGATAAGCTCCACATGAAAATGCAGCTGCGTATGCACATATTGGTAATGATTGAGCCAATGCATAGACAAATGAATAAAACTATGAAGCTACGATTACCAGCAGTCATTTCCGAATTGAGTATAGAACAATACTGTTTATAAAAGTAATCTTCGAAATTATAAGCGTACATTGTTCTTGTTGAACTAAGAGCTTCATAAATAATGATAAGAACTGCTGCAGTCGCTTTATTGCCTTAAGAACTTTTACGAATTTGACGAAGCTGTAAATTGTTTTTGATTATAGCTTGATTCCACACTGTACTTTTTGGTAGAAGTATGGAATTTTCAGCATGTGATACCACTGGTAGCCCAAATTTTGCAGACCAACCATTGATATCAAATGTGCATCGGCAGAGGATCGAACCCCGCAATATGTGCATGGTCGGTGAGCGTCCTAACCACTGTGCCACCGATGCACATAACATAATCACTGGGAAGAAAACTAACACAACTAAAGTCAATTTCCAATTATAGACGAAACCAATAGTTAATGAAGCAATCACACTAGTACAATGGACTCAACTAATCGACCCAATGATACACCACAAAGTGTATTCACTTTATTTGCATCTGTTATTAGCCTAACCAATAGAATACCTGGACTATGCTCTGGTTGATCATGTCATGCTACTTCTTGTTTCAACATAGATGCGAACAGATTCTCACGTAAACGTCTGGTTAACTTTTCACCCGAAACACCGAGAAAATAACCCTGACAAGTAGAGGAGATCAATCGAATTAAGCCAAGTCCAGCTAGAATACTTGAAATGAAATTAACTCTGGTTTGCATTTCATCTGGTTTTTGAGTTAAATTAAATATATAGCATACATTTCTGAGTAAAGAACAGCAAAGCAAAGACAGGTTGTAGACCACCAGTGATTGATGCAGCTATACATCTTAAAGTTAAAACTTTCCATTCTGGTTGAGATAATTTCAATCAAATGGCGTATACATGAACACAAAGCACCATGTTTTATGCGAAAATCAGTCGACTTGGACATTTTCAGAGATACTTTACTTGAATTCACTTTCATTTTCCTTTTTATGATTTATAATCGTTATACCATTATTACTAATACTATCATTGTCTGTCTGTCTGTTTTCGACAGAGGACTTTGCACACATATGCGGCAGTTCGAGTCGCCACACTCCATGTAGCACACAAAGCATGAGAAGAAATGCATATTAGAGACAGTAAACAGAGGTGAGACAAAGGAATAGTAATAAAGAAGAACAAAACAGTTTCATTGGAAATTATAAGTCACAAGGAGTGGATGCATCTGCGCCAACCATTCAAAACGAGGATTTTGAGCCATATCACCAATTGTTTCCAGCCGTCACTGGTTTTTACCGTCCCGACGACCCCAACCACGAAGTCCACACCTCCCTATGTGACTTACTGAAACTAACTGTTGTAGATTTCATTGACTGATGAAGACATGTTTTCGTTTGACCGCCACTAGCTCTTTTCCAGCCTGGCCCTATATTAGCTAACATTGTCCGTCGAGGGAGGCGATGACTAGGCATACGTAACACATGTCCTAACCATCTCAGTCGATGTAATTTCACAGCCTCATCGATTGATTTCCTCTCCCTTCATACCTACCACTCGATCGGGTCATTACCTCAATATTGCTCACCTTATTATACCACTTCACACGGGAGATAGAACGCAGACATCCATGATCAAAGACAGCTAATCTTTTCATGTCTTCCCTTCTCAATGGCTATGTCTCAATCACAGACGTGCATGAAGGAGCACGGAGTGGACTGATGAGCAGTACACACACCCTTCGGTCGATAGTTATGACTTCTACTATTACAGAAGTTGGACGAGTAAGCATGAGTCATCTTATTCTGTATACAGATTTTCTTCCAAGACACAGTAACAAATCTAGAAATTAAGAATAATTCACTAATAATATTCGTAGTTAAGTGAAGTTACGATCGGTGGAAAATTGGCCAATCATGTTACCTTAAATTACAGGCTTTTAAACTTGATAGACATAACAAGCAAATGAATGATAGCAGTATTATCGAAAACCTCCGAAATGTTCCACATATTTTCTATCCACCTACAGTCTTAAGATGGAATATATATATATATGTATTATCATTGACGATCAGATCAGGGAGCACCTCGATAGGTCTAATATACTACATGAATCCCAACACGGTTTCAGGAAAGGCAGATCCTGTGTAACAAACCAACTATCAGCTTCCGACGATCGTACTTCATACTGGAATATGAATGTTCCAGTCCATGTGGTCTACTCAGACTTCGAGAAAACATTTGACATTGTTCAACATGACCTTCTATAGGTATAGGTAGGCCAATTCACACTTAGGTACCGTTGTCTTAGGGGGGATTCGATTACTGCCTACAAAATAACAAACAAAGGTGTCCTGCCATTGAGTAGTTATGCGCTTCATTGTGAAAATCCCAGAATGATAGCCAACCGAAGGACAAAGACTAGGATGCGCCAACCTTCTTTCCACTGAGGGTTTGCTGCCACTGTGACTCCTTAATGACAGATGTACCTATGGCACTGTCTGTGGACAGCTTTAAACGAAGGTTGGACAACCATGTAGCGACACAAGGGGTGCGTTCAAATAGCCTAGTCCCCTTAAAATCCTATACACCATTCAGGGGTAGACAGTGAAAATGGTCGTTTTCCTTCCTCACATCCTCTCCTGTCTTACTCTCCTGACAACTTTAACTACACTTCCCCTTAGCATTGCTGTTATTACCTATATATATATATATATATATATATATATATATATATATATATATATATATATATCAACTTCAAACTTAATCAGCTGACTGTTGTTACGTGTCCTTTATTTCTTTATCTGTATGATAGTCTGAATAACTTCACTAATTATATCTATTATCACTATTATGATCTCCATTCTTTTGACGATGATACCGGAGGACTAACTGATGAAAGGATCAATTCCATTCACAGTAGTAACAGTCCTAACACACCACATATAATTAATCCCAGCACTACTCATTTTGGAGTCAAACAAAGCTACGACAGTCGAGTGGGGCGGGACGAGCTACTCAGAGGTTTACTGAAGATCACGAACCTATACCTCACAATCAAGAGGCGATCACAAGGAAATCAAATTGGTTTATACTAGCTCGTAAAAACGATATTGGATATATTGGATTCGAATTACATAAATCAGACAATTATTGTATGCTGGATTTGTATTTTAATTATCTTTTACGATATTAATTCTTGGTTTAGTCATTACTTCAGTTTTCGTTTTTAGACATCCTACTGTTTATTTTCGGTTTTTTAATCTAGAAATTCAGACATCCCCCAAAATGTCTCCAGTTACCAAAGCCTCTCACAATCAAAGTTTACCTGTTTATCCTATGGATGAGTTGTTAAAAGCACGTAGTGAGTTTAGATATCGGTGGAGAAGACGAATGACCGAAAATCCCTTGGCCAGATTAATCATTACTGATCATTACAGATACCCGCCTAATATAATCTTGAAAAACTGGGAGAAATATCCGTTTGATGAGACTGGTGATGAGTCAGACAAGCGTCAGTTCCTTTCAACTATGAGTGATAAAATGAGAAATAGAATAATAATGTTGAAGACGCAACCTTATATACCTTCTGAAATTTATGATAATATGATATCTGAGGAAGATTTTCAGCATGTTTGTTCACTACTATCAAATGAGGTGTGCATCACAGAGAACTATTTTCAATCGATAAGTCAAAATCAATGCATTTCAGCATGTTATTTTATATGTGATAATTGTGATTTTCTTGGGACCAATGAAGACGCAGTGGAACACTTGAAACAAACCGGTCATTCGACGTGTAGTAAATACACACCAATTTATTATGTAGATGACTCTGGTGCTACTAAACCTTGTGAACTAAAAGAACCACGGGTCATCTTTTATGCACCTGATCGAATTTATGGTTGGAGTATTGGTGATTCAGTGATATGTTGTCGAATTTCAAGTAGGACAACATATCACTGAATCACCAATACTCCAACCATAAATTCGATCAGGTTGATAAATGATGACCCGTGGTTCTTTTAGTTCACAAGGTTTAGTAGCACCAGAGTCATCTACATAATAAATTGGTGAGTATTTACTACACGTCGAATGACCGGTTTGTTTCAAGTGTTCCACTGCGTCTTCATTGGTCCCAAGAAAATCACAATTATCACATATAAAATAACATGCTGAAATGCATTGATTTTGACTTATCGATTGAAAATAGTTCTCTGTGATGCACACCTCATTTGATAGTAGTGAACAAACATGCTGAAAATCTTCCTCAGATATCATATTATCATAAATTTCAGAAGGTATATAAGGTTGTGACTTCAACATTATTATTCTATTTCTCATTTTATCACTCATAGTTGAAAGGAACTGACGCTTGTCTGACTCATCACCAGTCTCATCAAACGGATATTTCTCCCAGTTTTTCAAGATTATATTAGGCGGGTATCTGTAATGATCAGTAATGATTAATCTGGCCAAGGGATTTTCGGTCATTCGTCTTCTCCACCGATATCTAAACTCACTACGTGCTTTTAACAACTCATCCATAGGATAAACAGGTAAACTTTGATTGTGAGAGGCTTTGGTAACTCGAAACATTTTGGAAGATATCTGAATTTCTAGATTAAAAAACCGAAAATAAACAGTAGGATGTCTAAAAACGGAAACTGAAGTAATGACTAAACCAAGAATTAATATCGTAAAAGATAATTAAAATACAAATCCAGCATACAATAATTGTCTGATTTATGTAATTCGAATCCAATATATCCAATATCGTTTTTACGAGCTAGTATAAACCAATTTGATTTCCTTGTGATCGCCTCTTGATTGTGAGGTATAGGTTCGTGATCTTCAGTAAACCTCTGAGTAGCTCGTCCCGCCCCACTCGACTGTCGTAGCTTTGTTTGACTCCAAAATGAGTAGTGCTGGGATTAATTATATGTGGTGTGTTAGGACTGTTACTACTGTGAATGGAATTGATCCTTTCATCAGTTAGTCCTCCGGTATCATCGTCAAAAGAATGGAGATCATAATAGTGATAATAGATATAATTAGTGAAGTTATTCAGACTATCATACAGATAAAGAAATAAAGGACACGTAACAACAGTCAGCTGATTAAGTTTGAAGTTGAATATATATATATATATAAATGTATATCAATACGACTGGGAGTAGAGCTACTGGTCAATAACTAGTGGCAGTTTGACCATCTTCACGCTTGAAGATCGGAGAAAGGATGGCTCTTTTCCACTCCCTTGACAGTTTCCCCGACTCCATTAGGTGTTGGTACAAGTCGCATAAGGGCCTCTAGGATTAGTTTTGCCTACACATCAGTCCTCCCGCTCAGTACTGACAATACAGAGTTCTGGCTTAACTCTATTTAAAAACAGAGTGACTTGACATTAACTTTATCTGTTTCTAAAACATAAAATGAATCATACAATTACACCAGAAAAAATATATAAACCCCCTGTCACTCAAGAAAAGAGAAAAACGTACCGAACAGTATTGAGGGAACGGACAAAATGAACGGTTAATATATTACATGTACACACAAATAGTGATTGAAAAAATGAAGACTCAAGGTCATGTAAGAATTAGGCTTGGCTTAAATTAGACCTAAAATAACCACTCTTACAAAACTTCTTCACCGCTTATGACCTTAATCGTACTCTGCCTAACGTGCAAGTACTAACGAACGGAATCAAGGCTAAAAGACATGAGATGGCAACTATGACTGGAACAGAATTGTATTTACACAAAAGAGATATGGAATTTGATAAGAAATAAAAGGGTTACACACTTATCTGCAGTCCTGACTTTGGTAGGCTAGGAGGGTGCGCCGGATGAAATCACAACGATATACAGAACCTAGAACGTACGAGTTCCAAGAATCGAAAGAGAAGGAAGTACTAGATGTCCGGTGACTCCGTTCAAACAAAAGTTCGAAGGTTCAATGTACACTACAGTCACATCACATAGTGTGACAAGGTCACTGTTAATCGCGATAGATAGATAGATTGTATGATAAACAGCCAATCGATATTATGTGACCTTTTTGTCGCGATTATTGGCCAATTAATGTAACTTACACCACGTGATGGTGACCTTGAATGTTCTTTTTTGTCTGTCACTTTACTTGTATATACATGTAATTAACTGACTGTTCATTTTGTCCGTACCCTCAATACTGTTCGGTACGTTTTTGTCCTATTTTTGTAATGACAGTGGATTTGTACATTTTTCTTGGTGTAATTGTATGGTTTATTTTTATGTTTTAGAAACAGATAAAGTTAAAGTCAAGTCATTCTGTTTTAACTATAGTTAAGCCCAGACTCTGTGTCGTCAGTATTGAGGAAGGACTAAATCTGTAGGACAAAAATAATCCTACAAAGTTTCGAACAGTATTCCAGACGAAAGTTTCGAACAGTATGGCAGACGAAAGTTATGAAACTATGCCGTCGTTAACTCCACAGTTAGGAAAGAGTAATGAAGCTGATTTCCCTGGAAGCAACGAGAATAAATCACACTATATGGTAGAATTGGAGCTAGCGAAATTGCGCATAGTCCAAAAAGAGAAAGAAATGGAATTAGAAAGATTACGACAAGGTAGTCGCGAATGTTCTGGTCACAATAAATCGCCTTACAAACCTTCTACTTCTCATGAAGTCGCTGTATCTCCTAATGATGAGTTCGCCAGAGGCATATCTAAGTTTCTGGACATGCTTAAAAGATATCAATATTTTAAGAATGATGCCGATGAACTTGAGTATTGGATCAACGAAAAACTGCAAACCTATGCAAACCAGGATTTTAAGGGACCGAATAATCTTCAGCTGAAAAAACAGAAACATCAAGAGCTTGAGTTCGAAGTAACAGTTCATGCTGAAACACTGTCAGCTCTGGATTCTGCGGGAGAAGAAATGATTGGTCAGGGGCACTACGCAACAGACATTATCAAAAACCGTCTTGATGAATTGCATGCCCTGTGGGAAAGGCTTATGGCTATTTTCAGAGAAAAATCCAGTGTCATTAACCTAAAGCTTAAATTTGTCCAGTTTTTACGCCAAGTCGAGGAGATACTTTTCTGGATACGTGAAAAAGAAACTTACGTAACATCAGAGGATTTAGGTCAAGACTTGGAACATGTTGGGACACATCGAAAAACGTTTGATGAGTTTACAAAGGATCTCGAGTATCAAGGAAGTCGTGTCGAAGACATCTATGGGAAGGCAGATGAACTTCTAAAAGAGGAATTTCCTGAGGATGCCCTAGTCATAGAAAAGTTCAGACAGGTCCGCGAAGCTCTAGAACGTCTGAAGGATCTGACTAGAAAACGACAAGAAAAGCTCCTGGAAGCCTATGAGATACAGCGCTTCTTTAGAGACATAGATAGAGCTATATCGTGGGTGAATGAAAAGTCCATTCCTTTATCCATTGAGGACTGTGGTCGTGATCTTGCCTCAGTCCAAGCCTTACAAAGGAAGCACGAAGCATTAGAAAGGTATTTGACTGACACAGATGAAAAGATTGTTCAACTTGGAGATGATGCTAAGGCTCTTGCACAGAGGCATCCTGATTCGCAAGACACTATACAAGGCAAATATGACGCCTTAATTACTGCATGGGATAAGCTGAAAAGTCAGGCTGTAGGTAGGAGAGGTAAACTGGAAGAGTCATTCAAGATGCATCGCTCTTTGGCTGACTGGAGAGACTTGAGCATCTGGATGAATGAAATGAAGACGTCAATATTGGCGGATGATTTGGCAAAGGATGTAGCTGGTGCTGAAGCCCAAGTAGAGCGACATAAGGAATACACCGCTGAGATAAATTCTCGAGCTGACAGTTTCGATACATGCATGCAAGAAGGTCAGGCATTACTAAGTGTTGGCCATCCTTGTAGTGGAGACATAGCTGCTAAACTTTCCACCCTTGAAAGAGGGAGAGCCTCCCTGATGCGGTTGTGTGAGGAAAGACGTGAACAGCTAGAACAGTGTATGAGCCTTCAGTATTTTTACCGCGACGCTGAACAGTCGGAATCTTGGATTGGTAAGCAAGAAGCCCTCCTAGAAATAAAAGATGTGGGAGACTCACTCGATTCTGTCGAAGCACTCATAAGGAAACATGAAGACTTCGAAAAGTCGCTTCTAGCACAAGAAGAAAAGATGCGACAACTTGATGAATTCGCTGCAAAATTAATCGAATCAAACCACTATGCGGCTGCACAGGTTGATGAGATTCAAGAAGGTCTTCAAAATAGACGAAATGCATGAAAGGAGAAAGCTCAGAACCGCCGTCAGCGTCTTGAAGATTCCCACCATTACCAAATGTTCGATAGAGATGCAGATGAAATGCAGTCGTGGATATCAGGAAAACTTAGAAATGCACTTGATGAAAGTTACAAAGACTCCACGAATTTGCAAACAAAGGTGCAGAAGCATCAGAGTTTTGAGGCAGAAATACAAGCGAACCAATCCCGCATTGAAGATATTAAAAAGACAGGTCAGGATTTGTTAAATGCAAACCACTACAACTCACTAGAAATAAAAGTAAAGATTGAACAGTTGGATGAAACTTGGTCTCATCTCGTAAATGCCATGGGAGACAAGAAGAAAAATTTAGATCATGCAAGTAAGCAACAACAGTTCGCTCGCAACGTAGAAGATGTCGAGTTATGGTTGAATGATGTTGAAGCTCATATAGCCTCAGAGGATGTCGGTCGTGATCTAAATGGTGTGATGAACGCACAAAAGCGGCACAACTTGCTTTAATCTGATGTAGCTACTCATCGTGAACGTATAGATACATTCAAAGTCCAGGCTGACACGCTTGCTGCAGAAAGTCATTTCGACGCTCCTATTATCCAAGAAGAACAAAGACAGTTAGCCCAACGTTACCATGACCTGCAAATCCCTCTAAGTCAACGTCGTGAGAAGTCAAGAGATTCGCTTCCTTCGGACACATCTTTGCAGCTTGAATATGGTGACTATAGTGAGCTGATGAAGTTACTAGTCGATTGTTGTAAAGATTTTAAAGCACATTCGCTCAACCAAATCGAATCAGAAATGTGGCATCAGTATGCTGAAAGCTTCACTACTGGCTCAGTAGCCACCCACAAAGATGCCTTCAGGTTATGGGTTAAAGATAAGAACCCTGTTGTTGTAAACTATATTGGTTTTATAGAGTCATACCGTGATCCCTTTGGTGTTCGTGCAAGGTTTGAATCATTTGTCGCTGTTGTAAATAGATCAGTGTCTAAAAAATTCCAACGGCTTGTGAATAATGCTGAAAGGTTGTTAACAAGTTTACCATGGCCTTATACGTTTGAAAAAGTTAATTTCTCACAGCCAGACCTTACTAGTTTGGATGTAGTTACGTTTGAAACTTCTGGAATTCCTGTTGGAAGTAATATTCCTAACTATGATGATGTACGACAAGTTGATGGATTTAAAAATGTTTCTTTGAATAATGTACTTAGTGTTCGTCTCGAAGATCCTAAACCAGAATTTCTACGTAATGAAGACAAACAAATGTACGTGGAACATGCTGAAAGTTCCTTTGAATTACAAGTTGGACTTCATGAACTGATGGGATATGGTTCTGGTAAACCGTTTCGGCGTGATTGTTATGGAAAACGAAATTTCCACACGGAAACTACTGAATATGTCATAAATGGAGGTCCTATAAAAGGTTGGTGTGAAGCAGGAGGAACGTATGACAGCAAGTTTCCAAACCTTCCATCTGCAATAGACAAGTGTCAAGCTGAGTGCGTTGGAATTTATTTGTCTGATTTACCTCTTGTTCTGGAGCAGTTCGGTCTGAACACCGACTGTGCTCAAGGCGATGTCTCAGATGTAGTCTATATTAATTGGTTGTCAATGATTCCTTCAGTTGTAACTTCCATGGAGTTTTATTCTCCAGCAGAAAATGCTGATGACATTGGATCATGGTGCCAAGCACATTATTGTGCTTGTTATGCGATTCTTCGAGTTTTGATTGAAGCTGACGATTCTATGCGACGTGCACATAGAGTAGTCGGTGAGGACGATGCATCTGATTTGTGTATTTCCTTGGATCCAAAAAGACTTTTAACTGTGGATCGTTCAGCAATTGGTGAATTCTTAAGAAAAATGCAATATTACAAAGGTAAAACGAATGCTAT